ATTATGCACCTTGAGAGGAACAGACAATGACTGAGTGTCATCAGGGACACTCAGGGCAGTCTGAAGAGACTATTCCTGCAAAACCAGCCATTATTTCAGGCACACGTGGAGGCTGGCAGAGTTTCAGCCCCTGCAAGGGGCTGCTTGCAGCTGGGGGGAGCAGGGGTGCAGGGGGTGCACACATGCACATGGCAGAAAGCAGCTCCCTCCAGATAAGTCAAGGGGGGCACAAGCCTTGACGTGGGGAGTGGAGAGCAGCACAGATCATAGAATCGTAGAAGTAGGGTCGGAAGGGACCTTGTAGATCTTCAAGTCCGACCCCCTGCCTGGGCAGGAGAAAAAACTGGGCTCAAATGATCCCAGCTAGGTAGGCATCAAGCCTCCTCTTAAAGACCCCCAGGGTAGGAGCCAGCACCACTTCCCCTGGAAGTTGGTTCCAGATCCTAGCCGCCCTAACTGTGAAGTAATTCTTACAGATGTCTAACCTAAACCTACTCTCCAACAACTTGTGGCCGTTATTCCTTGTTATGCCAGGGGGCGCTAGGGGAAACAAGCTCTCTCCCAAACCCTTCTGGTCCCCCCTAGTGAGTTTATAGATGGTCATCAAGTCCCCCCTCAGCCTTCTCTTGTGAAGGCTGAACAGGTTCAGGTCCCGCAGTCTCTCATTGTAGGGTCTGCCCTGTTGTCCCTGGATCATGCGGGTGGCCCTCCTCTGGACCCTCTCAATGTTGTCCACATTCCTCCTGAAATGGGGTGCACAGAACCGGACACAGTCCTCCAGCTGTGGCCTGACCAGCGTCGCATAGAGGGGGAGAATCACCTCCCTGGCTCTACTTGAGATGCACCTGCGGATGCACGACAAGGTCCGGTTAGCCCTGCCAACCATGACCTCGCATTGTCAGCCCATGTTCATCTTGGAGTCAATAATGACTCCAAGATCCCATTCTGCCTCCGTGCTCTCTAGAAGGGGGTTTCCCATTCTATAAGTGTGCTGCTGGTTTCTACTGCCTAAGTGCAGCACCCTGCACTTGTCAGTATTGAAACGCATCCTGTTTATGTTAGCCCACTCCTGTAACCTACCCAGATCTTGCTGCAATCTTTCCCTCCCTATTAGTGTATATTAGAGGCAAACCATGGTATTTAAAAAAAAAAAATCACAATCCTCCTCCGTAACAGCACTGCCAGATAACTTGCCAACACCAAACTGATTTGTAGATGTGCACCAACACATCGGTCTGATGTCGCAGGAGTGTCAAACTTTTTAAAGAACTGTACCCCTTCTGGTGGCCGCAGCCAGACATAGAGCAGGGAGAGGTGGGGGGACTTCACACAAGGCGGCAGCATGAGACAGTGGGCAGTGGATGGCACGGTGGATGGTGGCTGCCACGAGAGCTCTGCCAACCCCTCCCTCCAACTGGCTGGATGGAAGCTGTGCAGTCCATAGAAGGGTGCTGCTACCCTTGCCACCCTTGGTGCCACCCTTGGCCCTGCTCCTGCAAGGCAGCAGCATGGTGTGGCGGGTGGCAGCGCTCTGTCCCTGCCCACACAGACGTACCCCCTAGGATCGTTCCACATACCCCTGGTTGACAACTCCTGCAATATTGGATCAGCACCAATATAAAGAAAATTGACTATATCAGAAATCAGCATTTTTTGCCTGACAATGTGGCCAATAAATGCCCTGTGCACGTGCCCAGCTGCAACATGCACAAGGTCAGGAGAGCAGCCTCGCAGCTTGGAGACCTGTGTCCAGCTGTTAAGTCTGTTGTGGCAGAAGGGGAGGGGGAAAGGAAGGGGCATGTGGAGGGTGGGGGCAGATTGAGGCCCCTGTGGTAAGGGAAAGAGTGGGGCTGGGGCAGGCACTGGCCAACCAGGGCAGGGCACAGGATGGAGCTGCGGCTCATCTGGGGGCCGCAGGGAGGCGGGGAAAGCTACAACCACTGTGCACACCCTGGGATGGCATGTGGGGGGGGGAGAGGTGCATGTTCCCCAGACCTGAACAGGGTGGGGCAGCTGTGGGCTAGGGCCAGTGCTGGGCTCTTCCCAGCAGGGCCTGGGCCAAGCTGTGCTCAGGGTGGGGGGAGGCGGCTGGGGGGGCTACAGTGAATTTTGGGGTGGCTGCTGCCCCCCCATAGCCCTACTCCCATTGCTGCAGCCACCTGCCCCAAGCAAAGCACGGCTCAACCCTCAACCCCCCAGCCAAGAAGAGCTCGGCACTTGCCCCATCCTGCAGCTCCAGCCGCGCCACCCAGATCTGGGAGGCACACGCCCCCCGACGGTGCACACAGGGGAGCTGACTCCCTCCAACAACCCCCAGATGAGCCGCAGCTCCATACCATGCCCTGTCTGGGCAGTGCCTGCCCTAGCCTCTGCCCCACTCCCTCCCTCACGGGCCTCTATCTGCTCACCCTCCCCTATGCCCCTTCCTCCCCCTCCCCTTCCACCAGAACAGGCTTACCAGCCAGACACTGCTCTTCAAGCTACCAGGCTGTGTATCAGAAATCAGATTGGTATGAGCCGATATGCCTCCTTAGAAATTGGCTATTGGTATCGGCCCAAAAAATCTCTATCAGTGCATCCCTACAGACTTGCCATTGATGTGTAGCAGTTTGGCACAGGAAGCTTCCTGATGACAAAAGAAATACATGTCTAGATGATGTGATTTTCCTGGTTTTATGTCCTGGCACAGTAGGGACAAGGAAAGTTACTCATATAGTTTAATGAAGGTTTGCTTCTTTGTATACAATTTCTGGATGATTAGTGGCAATCCCATTAGTGCCCTAAAAGTACCAGTCTGTATGAGGGGAATGTGCAGTCACTGTAATACAGTACACAAATATTTTCTTTCTGCCATGAATGAGCTCCCAACCAAGAGTCAAACTGAGGCTGAAACATCATACCATCTTACAGTCTCTCTGGATTCTACTGCAAAAACAGCTCATCCATCAATGGATCCATGCCTTGGTATCAGCCAGCATGGGCAGAAGGAAGAGCCAAAATAATTTTCATTAAGTGTTTGGGCAGCCTATGATCACTTGCCTAGGGGCTCTGGAAGGAAAGACAAGCTCTCCCACAACACGGTAGACCAATTCTTACAATGGCTCTAGTTAGTGAAGCATTAAGAACCCTGAACCATGGGATGCATATACTTAAGTTCTAACGTGAAGCCTGTGCAACTGCCTGCCAAGTAGAAGCTATAAGAAATGGCAACTATAAACTATGTAATGAATTTCAGGTTTCTGGCTACAGTGTTTAATTGGCTCTGGATTTAGTTGGCAAGTGAATTTGGACAGTAATTAAACCCCCAAAAAAGCATGCGCAAATGCCCACTTAAGGCTCTAAAGTGGAGGCTCAGAGGCTAGACTGGATAAGCAAAATATGCCATGTACAAGAGCATGGAGGTGACTACATGCTAGAGCAGGGGTGGGCAAAATGGCAGATCCAGCTGGCGACCAAGCTCCATTTCCCAGCAGCCCTTGCACAAGTAGCTGTGGCTGGTTTCCATGGAGGCCAGCCCTGGCAGTGTTGGCAGGATGCGCAGCTGAGCGGGGAGCTGTTTCATGGCCAGGCCTGGGATCTTGCAGTGGTGACAGCATGGTCTGGATCTGCTGCCTGCTTGTCCCTGCCCAGGGTATGCAGGCAGCAGATCACAGCTCTGCCTCAGCTCTGAACCGTGCCATCACAGCCGCAAGCTCCAGAGCGGCTTCCCACCCAGCCATGCGCTCTGCCAGCGTCTCCATGGAAACCCTGGCCCTGCACTGTCACGGTAGCACCATTGCTGGGGTCTCCATGGAAATTGGCAGCAGCAACACAGACAGGGGCTGTTGGGAAATGGAGTCCACCACAAGCCCAATTCGGCCCATGGGCCAGACTTTGCCTGTGCCTGTGCTAGAGGATAGCCATGCCCATGCTGAGTGAGAACACTCAGACCCCATCTACACTGCACCTCCCACTCGTTCTGCTGCCAGCTGAGCTGCACCAACAACACTTTCCAGCCCCCCACTTTGTGAGCGCACAGAGGTGAGGCACACTTGTTAACAGATTGACAAGACACAAAAAAGAATGTAACCCTCACTGGCTATGCACTGAAACACATGCACTTCCATCAAAGGGCGTAGCAGGTGACCACGGGGATCTGTGCACCCCTGCTTGCCCCTGCCAGCTCACTTGACTCCCCATGGGACTGGGACACATGTGATCCAAGTGGTGGTGACGCCTGCCCAGCAAGGGAAGGCATGACCCCACGTTTTGGATCACCTGGGCGAACTTCAAGCTTACAGCAGGGGGATGGACCCAGAGGCACAGGATATGGCCACCAGGCTGGGCACCAGGGGACGTGTCCCTAGGCAGGGCCATCCTTGGGGGGGGGGGAATGAATCAGGGTGACCGCCCTGGGCTCCGCACTTTGGGGGGCCCCATGGAGCCAGATGGAGGGGCTGCAGCAATTGAGTGCCACTGCTGCTGGCTTTGTGTCCAGCCGTTTGGCAACCCCCCCCTGGAATCTGCCACTGGCTTCTTCGTGTTTGGGGCGCGCGGGGGCAGGGCTCTGCACAGGCTGATTTGTCCCAGGCCCTGCACCCTGCTCAGGTCATCTCTGTCCCTAGAACGGACAAATTCCACCTGGAGCAGCTCAAAACGGGACCCAGAAAATCAAGGACTATTCTGAACTGTCCACTGAGAAGTGGGTCAGTGTTATGGGTGCACGTGGGGGATGGACAGTCCTCTAAGCACTCCACAGTGCATCATTCCTCCCCCCAGTCCTCCAGGCATCCCACAATGCATTACTCCTCACTCCCCCCCCCCCGGCACAGGAAGGCGGGGAAGCCCTATGCTGGGGTTGGAACCCCTGGAGAAGGCGGGAGATGGAACAGCCCCAGCGCTGGGGCGGGCCAAAGCGTAACGCACACTCCCCCCACCCACGGAATGGACGCGCCCGGACCAGAGAAGTGGGGAACGGAGAGGCACAGGAGCTTTGCCTCCAGGCCCCGCCCCCGACTCACGCAAATGCTGAGGCGCAGCACCCCGCGCTGATAGTCCCTGTACAACTCCGGGGCCTCGTCGCTGCACTCCACGCACCGGTAACCGCCACAACCGTCGGACCCCGCCATCCCAAGCTCGAGGCAGCTCCTAGAGCAACACAAACACCTTCCCTGACTGGATGGCGGGCTGACTTCCGGGCTCAAAAGAGGGTTGGGACTCGGCCGCGGTGCCGCCTGGGAGTCGTAGTTTCCCTCCCGCGCGCACTAGGCAGAGGCTCCTCCTGGGAAACTACGTGGCGCAGGAGGGGCGGGGCCTCCAGGTGGCGCTCGGCCCAGACGCGGGCGGGAGGGGGCGCGCATGCGCGTGGGCCAAGATGGCACCTGCCACCGGCTGTAGTTACTGCGCTGCGTTGCCGCTGCTGGTGCTGTTGACGTGTGCGGTGCGTGTGGCGCTGGCGCTGGCGCCCAGCCTCAGCGAGCAGTATCCGGCGCTGGCGCTGCTCAAGCAGGAGCTGCAGAGGCAGCGGCACAGCCCGGGCCCGGTGGGGGGCTGCGCGCAGCCGGCGCCCGGAGACTGGCGCGAGCCGCACTCGGCCGAGGGTGGCGGTGAGCGGGGCCGGGCCGGGGCGGGAATACGGGCTGACTTCTCCCCTGGCGATCCCCGGGCTTGGAGCAGCGCGCTCGGGGCCGCCCGGCCGCTCCCCAGCTACATGCCCCCCAGGCACATATGCATCCACATACACACTCCCATGGCCCTCCCCTCACTCAGGCACGCAGACACTCAGGGACACACACGTATCTCTACCCCCCCCCCCACACACACACACACAGACGCACACATGCTGGCCTGGGCCAGTGCGAGAAGCTGCCCCTCGCTCCAGTGAGGGAGGAAGAGCTGCCCCAAGGCTCCAGAGAGGGTGGAGGTGCACCGTTCACGGTTGGGGCCGGTGACAGAGCAAGGAGCAATGGGCTCAGGTTGTAGCAAGGAAATGTAAGGTTATATATTAGGGAAAACTGTCTCACAAGCAGTGTAGTAAAGCACAGGAACAGGTTACCCAGAGAGGTTGTGGGTCTCCATCCTTGGAGGTTTTTAAGACCCAGGTAGACAAAGCCTTGGCTGGGCAGATTTAGTTGGGGATGGTTCTGGGATGGTCTATCTAGTCCTGGGTTGGTCTAGTTGGGGATGGGGATGGTTGGACTAGATCGGGGTGGCCAACCCATGGCTCTGGAGTGCAACTTCTGAGTGCAGACTGAGTAATGTGCTCACTGCGAGCAGTTGCTTGACATGATGTAATGGCTGTGGAAGTTGGTCACCATGTGCTTGTGCAAAGATTCAAGGAGATGCATATTAACTTCTGAAGAGCCACATGTGGCTCCGGAGCCGTGGGTTGACCACCCTTGGACTAGGTGGTCTCCTGAGGTCCCTTCCAACCCTACTGACACGGCCAGTAGAATATTAGCTGGCCTCTCTTTCAGTTTAGCTAGGCTTTTCTGTTTCTGTCTGTTTGCAGCTGAGGCAGGTGAGCCAAAGCAAGCAGCGGTGGGAATTCCCACAGCACAAGAGTCACTGTGTCACTCAAACTCCACTAAAAGGTTTTTGTTTTGTTTTTTTAGTGATCCTAGCTTGCCATTGCCTCTGCTGTTTTACTTTGGCTGCTGGATGGCAACTGCTAGGGGGGTTCTGTGTGATTTTCTTGGTTCAGATGATATTGTTGGGGGTGGCCCTGCATTAAGCCGGGGTTGGACGAGGGCCGTGATTCTCAACCTTTTTTGTACCGGGACCCATTTGCAAACATCAGTGGCCAGACCTGATGCAGTGCCCCTCACTCCCAACCCACTGCTCCTAGGCCCCAGCCCCCCAATGTGTGAGGTAAGGGAGCCCCCAAGCAGCCCCTCAAAGGCTGGAACTCTGCCAGCCTCCAAGGGAAAAGCCCCAGTTTCCCACATTTTACTTCTTTAAAGGAGAATCCATTTTTAAAGTTTGTTCACGACTCTTTCATATATTTTTGTGACCCACAGATTGAGAAACACTGGACTAGGGGACCTCTTGAGGTCCCTTCCAGCCCTCATTTTCTATGATTCTATGATATGAGGCAGGTCAAGCCACAACAGATTATCCTTATCACTGTCTTTGGCATGGGGCTGCAGCTATATTTAGGAATGTGTAAACCTGGAACCAGGCAGTTACCTGAAGGATCTGCCACTTCTGTCTGTTCCTCCCCCCCCACCGCCTCCCCCCACCATTGTCAGTGCTTGGATGGTGGCGGACTTGCTTAGGATTCTTTGCAGGAAGATGCGTTTGGAAGATGCTGATTTAGTGACTGGTTGGAGGTAGCTTCTAGGAAATATGCTGTATAAAACAGAAAGTGTAAAAATGATAGTTAAGGGTTAACTAACAAAAATAGAAGGCCTTTCTACCTTGTGATGTCAATAATATAGTGATTTTTTTTTTCTTTTTACTAACCAAACTACAGAACAATGTCTGAGCATATTCTAAAATACCTGCATGCATATTTCCCAGCTGTTAATAAATCCTACAGTTACAGGCAGAGCCATCTCTAGGAGTGTGGGAGGCTTGGGGCACATCAGCCTGTGCGGGGCCTGGAGCAGCAAGCGGGGTAGCATGTGGCTGGAGCCGGCAGTGCCAGTTGCACTTGGCAGTGGTGGCCGTGGCGGGGCCTATGCTGCACTGACCACGGGGCCCCCCAGGGTGTAGGGCCTGGGGTGGTTGCCCCGATTTCCACCCCCCTGCTCCTGGACGGCCCTGGTTACAGGTATCAATAGTGGAAAAACTGTCAAAAGGCTAAAGAGAATCTTGTTTTCTCGACTACCCTATTGTTTTCATTCTCAGTCAATTCCTCTCTATATTGTAGGTCCAGGATGACTTCTCCTCTAGTTGGATTCTCCACTTTTGTTTCATAACATTGTCATCTGCCTAACCTAGGCAACAATTTGAAGCAAGTTTGGCTGTGTTTATTAAAGTACAGATATAGTAGTGAAGTCCCCCAGGAGTATTGTAGCCTGGTAGTTCTAAGAATCTTGAGAGTCAAACCATGATTTTTAAGTGTCCTTTTTCCTCTCTAGCCCCATGATTTGTAGCAGGTAGTATCTGTGACTTTTCCTTTGTTCATGCCTGATATCTTCACCCAAAGAACTGTCATCCAACTTCTAATAGCTGCAGTGTTGCTTATTTGCATAGTAAATACTTCTGGTGTAATGTGGTTACCCCTTTGCCTCTTCATGCAGATTGTGCATGATGCAAGAATTAGAAGGTAAACAATGTATGGCTTTTTTTTTTTTTTAAGTACAAGGTGAAATTGAAACATTGTTGTCGCTTCTAGCCTTAAAATCTGTGAATCTTGTGCTTCTCAGTGGTATTTTGAGAACCTCCTGCTAACTTTGCTGTGGCTGAATTAAACCTGATCTTTTTGCTGTTTATAGAAACTGCATGTTAAAATCTTTTTCAACTTATGCTTTATAAATAGATTTCCTTGTAGTCAATCTTCAATTCATTCTTAAGCAGAAATTGGGAATTACTTAGCTGTATACCACTTCTGTTTGCCTCGTATAACCAAGATACATAGCACAAACGCAGTTCTTACTAAATGTATTAACAAAGGCAAGCAACAACTTAAATCCACCTTGTTGCAAATTTATTTCAACAGATTTTTTTTGCATTTTCACTGATGCCTTTAAATTCCTGCACTTTACAGTACATAAGAAAGGGGTTAATTTTGTTTATTGTTGATGTGAAGATGCCATCTTGTCCCTTCTTTTCTCGTTTCCCTTCTCCAGTCTTTCAAAACAGTGGAGGTTATTAGTTCATAATTTTTTGCCTATCACTCCTGCTAACTGTTGTCATTAAAACTATATTATGCTTTGTATTAATTGACATCTACGATTAGGCAGTTCTACTTTCTCTTCCCTTTTCTTCAAACTCCTTTCCTTTACCACATTTGCATACAGTTGTTCAGTTGTCCAATTTTGGGTTGCTATTCCTGTTAGAGTTGTAGAATTTTCACTGTGGTGTAGTGTTACTTTTCATATGTTTGTATGCCATCCCTTATTTTTACCATGTTTTCTTTTCTTTCCTTAATCTTTCTCTTTTGTCCTTTTGAAGTCTTGTACCATACTTGCTAGTACGCTGATCAGAAATGAGTTCTACACAAGGGCTGGGGATGGTCCTTCCAGTTGGTGATGAATGACTCTGGGTTTCCCTGTTATGAGATGAGATTGCACAGTGTTCTTAGTCACCTGCCAAGGAGCCAGGGCCAGATAGTCTCAAACCAAAACACGTTGCCATTTGTGAATCAGATCAGCAGTGATATAGCTAGGGTGATGACCGGGCCAGTTGTCCCAGGTGCTGACTTTTTGGGGTGGAGGGCGGGGGACAGGCGGCTGCTGCTGCTGCAGCTATAGCTATGTAACTGGAAGCTGTGCTGTGTGTATGGGAGCTACCCTGGGCGTCCAGCTGTGATGTTGTACTTCTGCTCTTTCCATATACTTTGAAAGTTCCTCCCTTTTTTTCTTTTCCTTCTACATGTTTTGTCCCTCTTGCTTTCACTTAATCCTGAGAAAGGGGAGTAAATTATGGCTTTTTATTTTTGTGCACATGTACTGGTGAAGACAATAGGAGCAGTAGTAAAATGCTTTTACATAGGAGACTGGTAGGAAGGGCATGGCGTGGGGCACATGCCCCCCCTGAGATTGGCCCCTGACTCCGCACCACTCAGGATGGGGCAGTTTTTTTGCCCTGCGGGCTGGCAGCGTGTTGGGTGAGTGGGGAGTACTAAGCTGCGGCACAGAAGTATAGGAATGGATATGGGGCTTTTGGCTCGCCTCCAAACTGTGCCCCCTCCAGACTCAGGAGGCATCAGTCACCCCTCTGCTTTTATGAGACTGTGTCAGGTATTGCACTATCTGCCCTCACTCCCGGCCAATCATTATGTACAGAGCAATAACAGCATATGAATATTCTAAATGATGTTCAGTGGAGAGATGGCTAAAACATAGGATTGGCATGAGGACAGGTGATCTGGTATCACATTTAACACCCCTACTGAAATGTAAAATTCCTAGTAGACCACCTGGCAGTAATTTAAAATGTTTGTTTTTGCAGACTCACCGTTTTTCCACTTCCATGAATCAGACTGTGAACTTAGAGGGTCTCCATCCTGTGAATCTCTGGTTTCACTCAATACTGAAAAAATTCTGGTATGCTGCATACTGTCTGTTCCATACAAAAAAGAACGCAAATAGGTTGTAGATGCAAGAGGAATAATTTTGTTGTGTACTATTTACTCAAGATTGGCTTCAGCTGGTTATGTAAATGGAATCTGTTTAAAATGTAAGAGCTCAAAAATTGTTCATGGAAGAGATTTGCTTGACAGTCCTGGAGTGTTGATTCTTCTGCCTATGAAAATAATGTCACTACCTGTGCAAGACAGTGGTGCTCAATCTTTTGGCTCCGCAGCCCAAATGAGTGGCACAGAGCCAATCTGTGAGCCAGATCAGACCCTGTGCACCAGGGTTGGGTCTGTGTGCCTCTGTCCAGACCGTGCTGCCTCTATCCAGGCTCCATGTGCCAGGATCAGGATCCTGGGGCCCTGTGCCATCTCCAGGTATATATTTGTACCAAATCTTCTGACTGCATTCATATATGTTGTTTACAGGAGATCAATGCTTTTCTGAAAATGTCACCCATCTAGTTTCCTTGAAAGCGTCAGATAATGCATTTTATTTTTTCATGCTCATATTCTGTCATCTTGTTCCATCCCAACAAATAAAGAAAAGATTGCTAGTTTTTCTTATTCTTAGTGTCATTAAATCTAAAATTACATTAAGCCTAAAATGTAAATGCCGTTCTTTTATCATAGACGGAACATTTTATTGCTGGCTTCTCTGATATATCCCAGTTCATTTTTGTTGCTAGCAGTTCCTGTGAGTTGCAGGCTATCAATATAGTGCCAGGTCATTTTGATTTGAAATTTATTTTCTATCTGAATTTTTTAGCAGAATGAATGCTGATTTAAAAAAAAACAAAACATTTCAGGTCAGATATGCATCTAGTGTATAGACCTGGTGAAAGATGTTTAAAATCACTACTTGTAAATGTTTCCAGTACATGGTAACTTTTACAAGCTGCTCTTAGATGGAGTTGGAAACTCTTAAATGAAGAACTACTATTAAACCAAACCTTTCATAAGATTGTTAACTTCTTGTAAATATCTGAACACTGAACTTTTATGGAAGAGATTATTGTGTAGCGTTAACATACATTAAACATACCAGGACAGAGGTGGTTAGCCATGTTAGTCTGAAGATGAGCAGAAGGTAAAGCAAGGTGGCACTTTATAGGCCAGGTGGTTCAAGGAGGAATGAGCATTCATAGGTAACAGTCTACTTCATCAGAAGTTCATGTTGCATCAGACTACATAGGTTGTTGTCTATGAAAGTTAATGCCTTTCTGAACAAGTTATTTTTTTAATGTAGTGGTTTTCAAACTTCGTAAAGTCACGGAACCCTTTCATATCACTGCTGCTGTTGTGGAACTTCTACTCCTATCTTGTGAGCTGATGTGGAGCTAGGCAACCTGACCTGGCAGCTGTAGTGCACCACCTCCCAGCCCGCTTTGCCATTATGCCCGGTCTCTTTGTAGAACCCCTGATGACCTTGGGTTCTGCAGACCACACTCTGAGTTTGAAAACCACTGCTCTAAGGAGCCACCATGGTCTGTTAGTATTTTCTAAACATGTCAGTAAAATCTCAAAGTGGTCCTCAATGGTATTGGTTTTCTAACTATGTAAGGGATTTAGAGTAGATCTGGCTTCCTAGAAAACTGTTGAAACCTTGTCATTACCTGCTATCCTGCTGTTCAGTCCCAATTTTTTATAACAGTGAAACTATGCCCATTCAATCACAGTTGAAGCACCATTTGAATTAGAAACTTTTGGACAGTGACACCATTATAAGGGGACTATATGGGAATTATAACCTTTTCAGTAGGAGATGCCAATCTAAAGATAGGGAGACTTTATTTAGGACTTATTTGCCAAGGGTAGATAAATTGTTACTCCTGTCAATAATTAAGTGGTGGTAACTACTAATCTCTTTTCCCCTAAAGGTTAATTTTCATCAGAGATCCTATTTATAAACAGGTGAATAATGCTGAAGGGTGTAGAATAAAAATTGTTTTCTTTCCATTACCAAGGGGCTAACATACATTGGGCCACTTGGACCATATTTTTTTAGGTTATGCATCACTGTGATGCTCTGGAGATGCAAACACCAGTAGTGAAGCTTTTTAATGCAACACTTCTAAAACATAGGAAAGGAAAAGAACAAAGCCAAATCCTTCAGTTGGAAAGTGGTGACAGCAATGGAATTGAAATTATGGATATACAAGGGACATGTAAAGCAAAAATAAAAATAAGAAGTGAGAGGGAAAAGGAAGAACAGGCCTTCCTTATTCTTGCTTCTTGAAGTGATCTGAATTTGGGTAGTTTTTGACTTGGCAAATAAAAGCTTCCTGCCCAGCTCTGGCTAAATCCTACATTTTTAAACTTGATTTTAACATTTATGAACATAAACCAGGTTATTAATAAGTAATTTGTCTTACAGTAGTGTTCAAAGACTGCATTCAGGGTCAAGGCTCTGTTGTCTTGGTCTGTACAAGCACACAAGGCAGACCAAAATGATCATACTCATGGATTGTTTCCTTTGGTCTCTCCAATGGGGTTTGCTTTTGGTACTGGAAAACCAAACCAGATTCTTGTAAATCAGGTAGAATTTATGTGCCTTAACTATCAACGAAAAGTTTAGCTGTTCAACTTATCAAGGAGAATTGGAATATAAAGTTTTTGGGGGTTTTTTTGCTAATTCTGGGCACATTTTTTTTTTGGTTGCTTTAATTCCTTTACTTAGGTAATTAGCTTTGCATAGTTCTTGGTACATTATATTCTTATATTGTGGCAAAATATGGTAATTTTTGTTCTGGTTCTGGCATCTGACATTGTGTGTTCCTTGATGCTGACAAGCCAGGACTCCCTAACTATAGTTGTTTTGTGGGCAAAGTAGCAAATACTTACTAATAGAATGGACACTAGGGATAGCAGATGGAGATTTGGTAATGTTCATTTACTAGCGGTTGTCTGATGTTTTATATAAAAAATGTACTTTGATACCAAATAACAGTGGCTGCAGTACATTTTAAAATATCATGGCAACAATGCTAGGATATTGTACTCTTTGTCTGTGTTGTAACAGTTCAGTCAACAGCAGTCTATCATTTACTTGTTTTTAACATGGCCATAGGTAATTTGACTAGAACTTTTTCTGAATGGAGGGGTAGGAATATAGCATACACCATGCTTTCAGTGTGGTGGATGATACACTAATGAAGCTTCTCATGATAATCTCTGAAAATTATACTGTAGAAAAAAGTGGACAAGATCCTCAAGTTGTGAAAATTGACATAGCTATATTGATATTTAATGGCACTTATAGCAGTTTACATTATCTGAGGAACTGGCATAAGATAGTTTCACCATTTTGAGTTCTCTTTTCTATAGTTTTTACAAATAGGAACTAAACTGTTTGAATTTCATAGTTTCTAGGGTTGGAAGGGACCTGAGCAGATCATCTAGTCCGACCCCCTGCCATGGCAGGAAGAGCACTGGGGTCAAATGACCCCAGTAAGGTGGTCATCCAACCTCCTCTTAAAAACCCCCAGGGTGGGAGCCTGCACCACTTCACTTGGAAGCTGGTTCCAGACTCTAGCCGCCCTGACCATGAAGTAGCGCCTCCTGATGTCCAACTTAAACCTTCCCTCCGCCAGCTTGCGACCATTGTTCCTGGTCACTCCTTGCGGTGCTCGGGGGAACAGGGACTCCCCCAGCACCTGCTGATCCCCCCTAACCAGTTTATAACAGGCCACAAGATCCCCCCTCAGCCTTCTCTTTTGAAATTTACTAGTCTTAGCCTAAAAATTAACAATCCAAACACCATAGTACTTTATTTAAACTTGATCCATTGCAGGTATATTTGTATCACTGTCGGGAGAAAGCATCTTGATGGGCATAAGCTTCTTGAAATCTTGTAAGATCTCCCACTGCAATCAGCAGCAGCTTACTATATGAATCAGAGATCTTCATGTGCACTGTATGTTTACACTATAAGCATCTTTAGATGCATCTCTTTGGGCAGACGTTTGCACGTTATATGTAACCAATTTATTATTATGCATTTTTTGGTCTTCCCATCTTTGCTGTGACTGGTATAATGTGTATTAACTGTAAAATTCAAACTAGTGAAGAAATTTAAAAATTAAAAACTTCATTGTTAATTAAACTTTTGTTTGTTTAATACTCCATCATTCTCTCTTCTAAATGGATAAAGGATAAAATGTTTCTGCTACTACATATATACTTCTCAGGTATCCATCCATATTTCAAGGTAAAAAGAGATATCTGCTAAAGGACATCCCTTTTTTCACTCATCCTCTGTGTGTGTCTTGTCATTTGTTATATGAAGTTACAAAGGTTTATACTCTTTAGAGATCAGCAGCATCTGATTGAAAACTATTTTATCTCCCCACAAAAGTCTAGAGTAAGTTTTAGTATCTCTTCAGTTTTGTTACAAGATGCGTTTTACTTTAATAGATGTGTCAGGCTTCTTTTCAAAGATTTACACCTTAGGTAGTCAGTACTAGATTCTGAAAATAACTAGATTCTGAAAATAAAGGTTTTTTGTCATTGTCAGCTAAATATCACAATTTAATGTTTTACAGAGTCAAGCAAAGTCACTTGCAGAACACAAACGATTCCCATTTGCCACTGATAATGATAACACAAATGAAGAGTTGGGTAAGGCATTTTATGTAAGATCTGTTGGGGTGGTTTTAAATCTTACAGGTGTTGATTTTCACAAAATGTTTTGAAACTATGTTTATAGTTGGTAATTCAAGTGATTCCCTTGGATCATATTTACTGTTGTATATTACTCCCTGAATAATAAAATTTCAACCTTTTGTTTTTAATGATGTAGAGAGAAATTCACAAATCTTTTCCATATCAATACTTTCTACCCTGCACAGTGGGATACTTGTCATGTATGTGTAGGTGGATGTGAAGAAAATATTTTATTGCAAGCCTATTAAACACACTGGAATACTTCCCCCCCTTAGTTTTCTGTTTTGTACCATTGCTAGTAATCAGAGATTTTCTGTATACTTGTGAACCTTCTGTTTGCAGCAACTTGAGGACTATTTTTTCCACCTTTTCCAAGTTTGGTTGGAAGTTTATCTTGTGGACTTGTCTTGCTACTTCTTGGTACTTTCTGGAAGAGTTCCTGGTGAGCTGATGTTGTTATGCAGGCAGAAAGTTATAGTATAAACTGTTAGCTATGGCTGTAAAAAGATCATACCCCATAACTGGCGCAGCTCTGTAAGCAAAACCCTTTGTATGGATGCTGCTCTGCTGGCAGAAGGTGGCTTATGCCAGCAGGTCTTTCATTTGGTTAGCTGATGTAGCCCTGGCAGCTGAGAACCTCCTTTGGCAAAGTTATATGCATATGAGAGATCCCTGCTTTCTCAGTGCCATTATTCCACAGTGGAGTAGACATGGCCTCAGTGTTCTACCTCCAAGCACAGACACAGAAGTTTGGTCAAGAGTTTCTTGAAGGGGCCCTTTTCTTTCCTCTCCATCTCCAAGAACTACTGACCATTTTCCCTCCCCCTCTCCATCTTCGTAAGTAGGGAGGATAGGCAGGAGCATTTTGAAAAAAAGCTGGAGTCTACCTTGGGACTTGTCTCTAGAACAGAACTGTTGCTGGTATGGGTAGGCCAACAAAGTCTCCCAACAGAGTTGCAGTTTATGCTGGCAAAAGGAGTTCTTTATGCTGGCAGAGCTACACCATCTCCCCAGGTGGCTTATTTTATTTTGACCACAGTTCTTTTGTCAGCACAGCTGTGGATTTTGCCAACATCAGGATGTTGGTGGAGAGAGTTAATTAGCTGTGTGGGGTGTGGGTGTACGATGTTTGTCATTTTCCTAGCTGACACAGCTATGCTGAGAGAGATTGGTAGGGCAGACCTTGCCTCATCTGAGCAGATCGTTGGCCCCTTCAGTCTTTGGGCTTGGTTGGCAACAACAAACCCCATGTTTAGCCAAGGGATTGGCATCCTATCTATCCCACTTCTCTTTTTAGATGCATTTAGTTAGGGAGTTTCCTAGCCCTCTGAAGTTTTTGTTGGTCTTGATCTTGTGCTTCTCTGGAGACATGAGAGCTGTGTGGAGATTGCCCAGGGTGTGGCCTGTTGATTAGGGTTTTCCAAGGGAGGGTTTACCACCAGTACTTTTGCACTTGCTTATCCCCACCCTTCCACAAAATTGGTGTATTGCATTAATCAGTCTGCTCTTATGTGACACAGCTGTTCATTACCATGGGCATGATTGTGAGATCATGATGAGTGATGGCTGTAATGTGGATTTAGGAACTGAGCGGAGGAAAGGCAAATGAGGAAAAAGCCAGGAAATCACAGATCTTCTAGCTGTTATTGACTCCCTTTCACACTTCATTGGATTGCAGCAACGTTGTTTAAAACCAGATTCATTGCTTGGTTTCCATGTAGTGTACACATAGTGATTTTTTTTTTTAAATGTATTTTCATAGATCCCCTCTCAGCCTTCTTTTGCAGAGGCTAAAGAGATTCAGGTCCCTTAATCTCTCCTCATAGGATCTTACCTACAGGCCCTTAACCATGCAAGTAGCTCTCCTGTGGACCCTCTCAAGGTTATCCACATCCCTCTTAAAGTGTAGCACCCAAAACTGGATGCAGTACTCCAGCTGCGGTCTTACCAATGCCGCATAAAGGGGAAGTATCACTTCCTTAGACCTGCTCGTGATGCACCTACTAATGCATGAAGGAGTGTGGTTGGCTTTACTTATCACTTTGTCACATTGATGACTCAGTCAACTCCAAAATGAACATGACTCAGAGATCTCTTTCTGCTGCTGTACTCCTTAGAAAGTCACCTCCCAATCCATAGGTATGTTGGTGATTCTTTCTTCCTAGATGCAGCACTTTGCACTTGTAACAAAATTATAAATGTTATAATTTTTCAGGTATCAAATCTAATTATTGGGGGTTTGCCTTGAGTGTGTCCCTCTCTACGCTCCTACAGCAGGAAACATTAAATCTGGGGGAGATAGGTGGCCCCCTTGCCCTCTGCCCATACCCCCAACTTCTTCACCCCACAATCCCTTTCCTGCTCCCCCACCCCTTTCCTGTCAGACCCTGATATCACTGAGCAAATTTGAAAACACTTGGTTTAAACATATAGGCAAATTACTATGGGTACCTATAGACTTGGTTCATCCAGAATTGATGGATTTACCTTTTTTGGAAACTACTGCAAGTTTTAGTTCAGGTACTCCATAAACACACTTTTAAGCAGCATTTTTGCACCTCCTTTATATATATATATATATATATATATATATATGTGTGTATATATATATATATATATATATATATATACACACACACG